GATACGAGCTATGAAAGTACATTTCATTAGAAAAAGCCTGGAAACAATTTTAGCCCTTTATTTCCATCCATGAGTACCCCCCAGGTTTGCACCATGTAATGTTGCCTAGTTTAAACACTCATCCACGTGGCCACTCACGGGAGAGCCTTGTTTGAGCTGTTCCGCCTCGGTTACTGACAAACTGAGATAGCCCGGAATTTTCTGACACCGAAGTTACACCATAGGAAAACCACTGTCATTGTGTTGATTACTGATAAATGATGTACGTTAAATGGGAAACTGGAATTGCAAATGCTCAATGTCTCAATTAGCAGTATAATGTGTAAATTGTACTTGTACATTTTTGTTTTACTCTGAGAGCCTATACTGGATAAGCAGCAATAGGAGATATATGGATGAGATTTGTTATATGTAAATGTGGATTTCTTAAATGCAATTATTGTGTAGTATGTATCTTATGTAGTGAGCATGATTCTTGTTGACACCAAAAACAAGCCTTGTAAATTAATTGTGAAATCCCCTGCGGAAATGGAAGTTTACTTTTGTGTCTGTATTAACATAGTTATTATCTGCGGTCCGAGGACCCTGTCGCCCACATTGGGACCTGTGCTGATTTAATCAAATTTGTTTTGCAGGTGGGCGGCCAGCTGAGGGAGGCTTTCAGTTCAGCGAGCTGCCAAATGCAGTGCAGATGCCCGTTTCTGACGACAGCAGAATGTGTTTCTTATCACAGCTCTGTCTGGTGACCAATTGTTATAAAGCATCACTCAGATCGAAAGCCTTTGATTTCTGATTTAATGCACAATGTCACATGTGCATAGGTAGGATGGCATTGAAGTTCTGGCAATATTAAGCTGCATAATAAAACGAACAAGATCGCAGGCAAAAACAGTGGGTTGGAAAGGCGGCCGAGAGGGAATTATGACCACGGTTAGTGTGTTCTGCGACCATCTGCGATCTGTGTGCGAATGCAGACATGGAAATCGCTCTTCAGCATCATATGCATGCATCAGCATCACACCCCGCAGCCTCATGGGCTTTTTTATGTGAAATGCGCAGATGACGTGAATCGTCCGTATGAGCGAAAAAAGGGAATTTTCATGAAACCCAGTGACTGCAGTATGATTTTGCCATTTTGTCATTGCCAGGACAGTCGCATCCAGAAATGAGTTATATTACACCTCTGCATGTCGCGTCAGTAATGTTGGAAACCAGGAGTGTTACTTCCGCTGACTTTACAGTATCAAATTTAGGCCTTGTGAAGAGTTTTCAAAGGAAGTGACTGGGACGCAGATTGTCAGCAAACAGACAACAATATCAGACTTGTTCGGTAATTATAGCTTTGATCAAGTTTCGACTGAGTTCAGCTGATAATATATAGAAAGTTGGCGGTTCATTCTGTTTAAGTACCTTCCTGCCATGCAGCACAGAGATGTTTCAAAATATTACAGCAAATACTAAAACCATAATTTTATTTTTTGCTAATTTCAATGTTTAATCATTTATAAAGCACTACATTTTCCCTGCTTTAAGAATGAGTTTATGTTAGATTTTTTTCCCGCGGTTTTTTTTGCAGCTATTCTTCATGCTGTCAGTAGGACCTCATTGTGTATATGAAACAATCGGTGTGTCTTAACGGTAGGAGGAGTGCAGCTTTCAAATCCGGAGCAGCTGCGATCGTTGTCCGCTGTCAGTCACTGCCTGATGCGGCCCACCTCCCTTTGTTTACTTTATTAGTCACTAATTGTGTTATCAGTGATTAACAGCGCATGCTAATCACGCCCGCGGTGGGTGTCGAGGCCTCACCCCTCCCTGCAGCGGTGTGCGTGTGCTTCTCTCAGGAGGTGTCCTGATGTTTCTTTTGCCTGCATTATTTCAGCGCACCCTGTTGACAGGGAGGAGGATGCATGTCCACTCTGTTCTTTTAGCTGGGTGACAGTGACACCAGGCTGTTCAATGGGATATAGTTTCCTCCACATTATTCCCAGCATTTTCATTAATGCCAGCGATGTGGGATCAGAATTACCAAACACAGGAAACTTTACTCTGGAAGCCCCCTGGAATAGGTGAGGCTGTAACCATCTTCCTGTGGCCTCTGGTGAGCTTTCTGCAAGAATATGGCCAAAGAAGGTCTCTCCTGGGGAAAAGAATACCTGGTCTCCCTGGAAGACGTGTGGCACAAGCCCCAGGTGGTTAAATTTTTTTTGCAGCATTAGAAATAGAAAGCATTTATTGCAATTTTAAAAATGGCAAAAAAGAAAAATCTCGCGGGGAGATTTCCAGCATAAAGAGTTCACATTGACAGCAGCTGCTAGACTGCCATCACCGGCAGCTCTCCTGCCTTCTCTCCCTCAAAAGATCGCCTGGCGATGTCACATTTTGGAACTGCCTATCATTTTCAGCTCACATTATTGGTGGTACTCCCGTGCGTTCCGCAACATCTCTCGCCCAGGCTGGCAATGGAAAGCGTATGTGGTGCACTTCTTAGAGTAATGTAGTATTGTGCTAGCTGCAGCAGCTTCTGGGCCGCCAATCGAGGCTCGTGGGAGAGGAGAAGGCCGGCTCTCGCGTGCCACCAGGAGGGAGCCATTATGCATGAACACCAGGCCCAGACCCCAAGAAGGCCTCAGGGAGGCACTGAGACCCATACAACATGATACCCCGACGTTGCCTTGAGGGTAACAGTCCAGTTTTACTGCGTTGGCTAAGCCACCTGAAAATAAAATTAAACGTGTTACTCGATAACTACTCAGATATGTGCATCTTGGAAATGTCATTAAAACTAACAAATGTCTGACAGAATTCTGAAATGCTTGAAGATTCAGCAATTTTGCAATTTCCTAAATGATTCAGTTGACTTTATGAATTTAAACACAACCCTCCCATCATTTTCCAAACTATTAAAAACTCGCCGAATTGATGCTTATATCTGACTCTTACTTTTCTAGGCCAATCTTTTTAGTTTCTCCCTTCTCTTCCCATGAATGTTCCGGCTTTTAAAGTGTATCTTGATTTTTTTAAGCGCTTTTTCTGCCATTATCATGAAACGGTAAGAATTGTTTACCTTTCTCAGTTTTTCCTAATTTTTGCATGGGATGATTACAAATAAAAATCTACTCAAATCCTTGCTCCTCTGGGATGGGGCAGAGCTGGAAGGGGCAGGCGCCCAGCTGGGACACATGTGACGCCATCTTCTGTAAATAATATTAAATTTGTCGTCCAATGGGAGATGAGGCTGCAGGAAAAGCCACAGGAAGTCCTGTATGTGTGCACTGATGGATTTCCTCTTGGGTGTTGGATGAACATTCATACCTCTTTACTAGTGGTTTTTATAGTTGTTACACCTGTGTAATAATTGGTTATATGATTAGTAATTAAATTATGTATTTGGCTACTTATGGTTACTAGCTATTCAGTTTGACAATTATTTTAATTCCATAGCAGCAGGCCGATAGGCGTGTGGAGGAGCTGACTGGACGCCAGTCTCACACATTTCTTCTATTTCTGTTTGCACATGGGCTGCAGTTACAAAGTTCCACATAGAAGTAAACAGTCTTAATGATCTTCTCATCTTCTTTGGAAAATAGCAATCGAAATTCCCGAGCCGCTTCTAATTGGCCAATGGATGCAGACGGAAGCTGACGAAGATTGCTTCCCGTCAAAAGTTCAGCTCCGTTAAAATTTTTAAGCCTGCAGAAAATATTTGGCTATCCCATCTGATCAGTGTAACACATAAATATAGTACATCTATCTCAGGGCTGGACTGGGATTAAAAATTGGTCCTGGAGTTTGGTTCCTGCACAGTAAATTATGGTGATCAGGCAGGTTCTCTACGATAAATTTTCCCAGACGTTCCAGCTCTGGTATATCTAGAACTAGGGATATATTTAACTTTTGACAGATAAAAGTAGGTCACAGCGTAGGGTAGCATTTAAGATGAAGATTCCACTTTAGCACAGTACCGGTATATTCCAAAATGATCTAATTTGTATGACAACAGTGTGCTGCAATAGTTATTTTTCACATTACAAACTATTTTTAAAAGACTGTGAGCATTTAAAATCAATACTGCAGCAGTAATAAGAACAGCCAAAGATAATTAAAAATAAAAACTTGTAAAAAAAAATGACAACAAATGTGTTCAGGAGTATTTCATATACAGATTTTAAACACAATAAAAAGTAATAATTTCATATACTGTTACACTGCAACAAAAACTTACCTACTTGAAAAACAAAGTTTCCTGACAGACTGTGTATAAAAAACAAAGTCAACCTGGAACAACATGTGCATGCAAGGTACTTTTTTAAATGGTTGAAATTTAGCTGAGTGTTTTATGGAAGTTGATGCAATGTAAATCTGTATAAACAGTGGGATACTTGTTAGCACTGGGGTTAAGCAAATGGACTTCTGACCTGTGGGTCAGTGGTTAGAATCCCACAAGGAGTGCTGTGTTGTACCCATTGTTTTCATAATTTATCTGAAAAGCAACAGGACATTTTAAAAATATGTGTCATTCATACAAGCATTTCCTTTTAAAAATAATCTCAAAAATATACTGTTAGGATTAAGCAGAGTCAGATCAATCTCTTACATCACCTGTAATCACTGAGGAAACAGGTCATGTGCTTTTGATGTTGTCTGTAATGAGAGTGCTAAAATATATGCATTAGATTTGTTTAGTCATGTGGACATGCAAGCAGAACACGTGAAATTCCTGTAATTTCCCACTTCGGGACTAGATTGAAAGCCAGCCATTTATTTTTGTTTGGCCACACTTATATAAACCTCTGACATTAATCTGGTCATTTTTCCGCTTAAATATAATATTGTATAACATTACATTTTCTCACGCTGGCCACTGGGTACCCCTGCCTATATCCTTACACTGGTGGTTGGAAGACAGATGGATAGATGGATTAAACTGTCTCACAGCTCAGTCCTGCAGATTATGCCACAAGCGTACCTGAAAAAATGTAAAATACAGCTTCTGATCTGAGTGATTATACAATGGTTTCGTGGTGGCTGAGGTATACCTTTATTATTATGATGGGTCACAAATTTCAAATTGAAAACATATTCAGAGTAAGCAACAATTCTAGGGGTCGATATGGATGATTAATCATCCTGATTCATTAAAGTAAAAAATACCCTTCATACCCTTTTCAAACTAAAATGTTTGACAGAAACATAGGACAAAAAAGAACATTAGCACACCATGAAATAAATATTTGCTGTTTGGCTATTTTTTCCCCCCTTTTCGCATTATGCATTTTTGCTGCAAATTCTTGCAGGTTGATATTCTACCGGAACAGAAAACGAAAAATTTCACAAATACAAAAAAGAAAAAGGTTAAAAAAAGAGAAAACTTTTTCAGTTTTTTTTTTTTTGTTTTTTGAGAAAGTCAGTACGAATTTTTCTGCAGAGATTTTAGGGAATATTTGATAAGACGTTTGTGTATGTTATTCCTGCAGCGGCTGTGCTGGAGGACCGTAATGGTACTCCTTGCTGCCAGTCATCAGCTAACCCATTAGCAGTTGCAAAGGACCATGGGGGTTTATCTGGACACAAACAGCGGGGGCCGCCTCCATCAGGGAATTAAGGAGAAAACACCGCCATGAAAACATGTCCTTCTCTACGGCCAATTATCCCACCTCCCACTTTCCAGCCTCCGAAGGTAGTGGTTGTCCCCACAGGTGGATCCTTACAGAACTCGGAGCCATCAAACCTCATTTCCTGATCTCGATTCCTTTTACACGGCAAACATCTCTCTCGTCTCTCTTTAGACGTGAGTCTCCCTCTCTCTTAAGGCTTATGCTTAGCTAAGCTGACACATGAGCCAGACCGTGAAGTGGTATTTCATTGCATCTGCTTCTATATTTTATTTATTTTCTGTTTTTTTTTTTTCTATTTTTGTCATTAATCTCCCAGCTTGGACTCTTATCTGAAAAACCTGCCCCAGCTTCCATGGCAGTGAAATATCGATCCTTTGAAATCGCTTCTGCGAGTTTCTGCAGATATCCCCTGCACGGTAAAGAGTTTGACACACACACACACACACATGCACACGAACAAACACACACTCCTCACTCCAGTGACGGAATGACATGAAGTAAATCAGATGATATCTCTGTGATTCCGAAGCTGACATTAAAAAATCTGTAGCAGCTACTTTTTCAAGCCTAGAAGGATCTATCTGCACAGGTCCATAAGTACAGAAACTGATTCTCAGATTTTTTTTTTCATGAGATCCAGCTGGTAACATTTGCTATTTAATTCATATTTAAACTTACCCACTGTGTTGCTCAAGTTGTTGATTCTGGCATAGGCCCCTACAATTAAAGCTAAAGTCTTTAACAGTATTATGATGGCGTGCTTAAACCATCATTTTCTTAAAATATATATACTCACAACAGATTTCATTTAAATCAAACTGCCACATGTGTCCATACATCATATGATCTGACAACATAACCTTGTAATTTGACCCATTTAAATACATAAGAAAAATGAAGACACATATTTTTATGATTGTTTGCGACAGCTGTTTTTAACATTCTGACATAGTATAATCATTTTGCATTTTCTAGGAACAGATGCCCTAGGCACATGGTGCAAAACAGTTTTTACTGCTATAGACAAAAAGCTTTATTTGTGTTTTTCATTTTTCCCCCCGTTGCTTTCCTTTGCCAAAACAAAGACATTTTATAGGAAATCAAAACAAGTTTTTACCCCCCCCCCCAACATGAACAACTTAAAATGAATTATTACAGGACTACAAGTACCAGAATGCATTGTGACACAAGCAGGATAACAACGACAATAGCAAAACAGTTGATTTCTCTAAACTTCAGAGACTGCGGAGACTGGATCCATCATCACTCTAATCATTCAAAGGTCTACATTATATTTTCATATCACATATGAATAATTATGAATAATTTCTCCTGTTTTTTTTTGAAAAGTAAAAAGTAAAAAATAACAGAATAAAGCAAAGTACAAAAATTGTATTTAGGTAACTTTTCATTACATTTTTGTTTGCATGTTTTTCTTTCATTATATCGGCGTTGCTGTAATCATTCCACTGATCTATGTTACAGAAGAATGTTTGGTCAGAGTCCACTTTGCCTCAGTCACATATAAATTCGCAAAACAGGTGTCCATTTGTTTAGCCGAAGTGCTACAGATATTCAAAACAAAAAAAAATGAAAAGCATTTTTGTTTGCTTGCCTTACGTTCCCAGAGAGAGGGCTGGGTCCCTCAGTCCTGCACAATTACCAGCAGCTCATGGGCTTCCGGCTGTCGCCGAGTGACTCTGATCACCCAGCGCCAAACACAGCGCCGGACCTCTCGCCCGGGACTGCCATGCCAGCTTGCGGGTGGGGAACGCGAAGCAGGGGCTGCGTGTGAAGGCAAAAATTCCACATTCAGAGCGAGAGAGAGGAAAAGAGAGAGCGAAGAAGAAGAGAGAGAGCGCGAGCGAAGGGGAACGAGAGAAAGAACAGCAAGACCTATAATTCACAAAACACTTCATCACCACAGGATGTCCCCCTTCCACCTGGCACTGCAGCTCGTGACAAATAGATTAATATCTGATTCAGCACCAGTGAAAAAGGCAATTTGTCGAATCATTTTTAACTAAACATTCTTTTTTTTTAATATATGAAAAAAAGATCATTAAAAAAACATTGTCCTTTTTCTGCGAGCGCTGTGCTGTGATTCTGAACGTCCACAATGCTCTCTGGCTGAACGGGGCAAATTACCCCCACCCCCTACCTCGAGTTTAAAAAAAAAAAAGGAAATCTAATTGGGCGTCTTTGGCAGATTTACACAAAAAGCCTGTACTGGAGGGTGAATGTTCTAATTTTATGGAGACATTTCAGTGAGTAGGTAGGAGGGATAAGGGCTCCACCTGCCCAGGCTCAGCTGGGATCACACGTGAAAGATCGAGATCTTATCCACGGCAACAAAACTACACTACAGGTGGACACAACCCTACGCTAATTAAAACATCACCACCTGGGCTAAAAAACATGAGAAGAACAAAAGATGCTCTTTTACGGGACTCTTGGGGAAGAAAAGTAAGTACTGATGGTGTGAGCTGACCATCGAGACGCAAGGGGAACAGCAGAAAACTGAAAAACCCTTAAACTGAAATGACTTGTATTTCTAGCTGAATTGCACAGTTATCCATCAAGATGACAAGAGCGGGGATGCTGGGCGTGGTCACCGCAGGGGCTCAGTCCCTCGTAGCTCTGCGCCATCATTCCGTCCTGCTGGCTGCTGCATGGACATCCAGAGCTGACGGGGGCATCAGCTGTCCTGCGGCACTGAGCAGCGGTGACAGCAGCGGGGGGGGGGTGGGGGAGGTGCTGTGAGTTAGGCCAATGCGGGTTTGCGCTGTCCAGATGGCTCCTGAGGAGCTGGGGGAGTCCGGAGGGGCGCCCCCTAGAGGTGGGGGCTGGGAGGCAGGTGCGGAGCTGGTGATGGGGGTGGTGGGAGGAGGGTGCAGGGTGGGGTAACGCTGCTATGAGTAGACGAGCAGCATCAGCAGCATGGCCAACATGAGCGAGAGGCAGGGGGCGGCGGCAGAAGAGCCACCCGTGCTGTCGTCTGTCAGGAAGGGCTCCGGAGACTCGTACACCGAGTCATCTGCAAGCGGGAGGATGAGGAAGAAGAGGAGCATGTGTGAGCAAAAGCACGCAGCTCGGCGGATAGCTCGAGGGCTCGAGAGCGCCCCCTCCAGGGGACAATGTTATATCACCGTTCCTCAAGCTACCATAGACCTGAAATTTCGCTAAATCCATTCCCGAACGTCCACCATCACCCGCATGCCAGAATCACAGCCTACATTCTAGAAAATGTATTTGGGTTGTTTAGGGTGGATCGTCACCAACTTGATGGTTTCAGCCTAGACTCCAGATTCTGCTTTTGGTAGATATTAATGTACATCAAGCAGAGAGCCAGGAGAGTCAATGTAAACTCTTGGAGGCTAATGTAAGGATGAAAAAAAAATATTCTAAACTATGAGTGAAAACTTAGCGCTATGTTATGGTGAGTTTACGGGCAGAACTGGGGAGACCAGGGTAAATAAAGTAATTATGCGCACTGTACATCTTCAAAGTGAGACCTCCATTCTCTACGGCACATGGACTGTAAATTCCGGTTAATAAATACAAATATCCTGATCAATACAGGACACAGGGTACACCCCTGGGAATGGGACAAAGACCATTTTCCAAACTCAATTGGAAATCACACAAAATCCTAAATAATCACTCAGCATTATAAACTCGTATTATCGGTCCCACTGGACTTACCTTTAATTAAGCAGGGTGGTTTTTCATTATTGGTATATTAAGGGACCAATCTATATAATAAATTAACATAAGCAAGTTGTGCATTACTTCTGTGCTAAATTAGTACATTTGTTTGCCGTGTATTTTTTTTTAATTCCTTGGAAGATTTTATTTAACACCTTTAGGGTTCATGCTTTAAATATAACCCTAGAGTCTTAAGAAGCAATTAAACATTTGCACTTTTTAATAAACCACGCAATTACTGTATTAGTCAATGTTCAAATTTCATTTTATTGGTGCTTAGGTCAGACCTGCACTCATTTATACACAGGCTTAGCTGAAGACTGCCAAGGCGTCATAGGAAAGGTGTCTATAGCTAGTCGTAATTACAGCTATATTTATAAGTCACTATCATTAACAAAAAATTACTCTAATCACAGAGTTCCTGCATACAGCGATATCCATTACAAGGCAACACTAATAAACACATTGTAATTTCCCTTTGGCCCGTTAATAAACTACATTGAAATATTAATCTCTACTTGGGAGGCTTACAAATACCACACATAAAATTGAACTTACTGTACATGTAATTGCCCTGTGGGCCCCATGCAGTGCCTGGCAGACCTATGGGAATAACTCTATTCTAAATAACACTATTCTAAACACTAAACACAAACCCGCACTACAGCGGGACTGCAAAGATGGAACACCTCATCCCCACTCGCTGGAAACTCCCTGAATATCTGGTTTGAGCTACAGAGTCACCCGTTTCCAGGCCGATTACAATTTCTTATAGCCCCTCTGCTTTATCCTGCCGATGTGTTAAACTCCTGCTTACAGCTTGGCTCTCCAGGTACCTCCAACCCTAAGTGACTAAAATATGAGTAAATAAAAACACAACACCGTCCTGACAACAGCATAAAATATTCCTGTATCGGCTGTGAGCCAGTTCAGCATCTGTGGACACAACATTAGCCTACTAGTGTTGCATGCTGAGGACAGTAACACTAGCTAGCGGTGGGCGATATGACGATAATTTATTGTGTCCGGTTGCAACTTTGCCCATGATAAGTGTTTCAGAGTAATAGAGAGAATTGCGATAACTATATTTACTTTCATTTACCAGATGCTTTTGCCTAAAGCGACACAGGCCTACAAGACAGTGGAATAGCACATTATGCACATATAGCTGTGGAAAAAATTAAAAGACCAATCTATATTTTTAAACAAATCCGCATTTTTATACCCTGCTTTAACTATAGTTCTGCTGGCAGAAGGCTATGCTGAGCAACAAGTTGATTCAAGGTTAAAAATTTCTAAGACCGCAATACACAACAATAAGGTGAAGCAGGAGACACTGGGAACAATCAGAATCCAGCCAGGTAGAAGGCAGAAGCGACTTTCTAATGCCAGAGATGACTGTCAACTTATCCAACAGTTTGTCATGAATCATAGGATGACATCAAGTGACCTTCAAAAGGAATGGGAAACATTAAGTGCAGGTGTGAAGTGCACTGCTAGGATCCTAGAAGCAGGACTGAAATCCCATAAAGCAGGGAAGAAGCCCTTCATTATTGAGAAGCAGGGAAGAGCCAGGCTGGAGTTAGCAAAACAAAAAACGTATATCATTCACAGACGTTCACTCATAAATTGAATAATGAGTGAAACAAAAAATTGTGCTGTGGCCTCTTCATTTTTCCGCGGCTGTACTGTATGTGCTGTGGAGGAGTTACCTGAGAAAAGTGTGGCTGCGCTGAGCTTCCATTGAAGGCCCAGTTAAGAAGGCCCTACTGAGCGCTATCATTATAACGGCAGAACAAACCAGCAAGACACAACGTAATAATTTTAAATAAAAGGATCAATTTATTGGGGGGATGTGTAAAGCCAAATTAAATATTGGGGGGTACACGTCCCCCCCGTCCCCCGTGGTTCCTACGCCACTGCCTGTAACAGTACTGCAGACAAAAATACCAATGTGAAACTAAGTAGCTTCAGCCTGCGTCTATATTTAACTTCTTTTTCAATTTCTGTCAACTTGTGACTAGATTGTGAACTAAAAATGTATTTGATCTTTTCTAATCAGTTAACTTAACGTTATCATCCGAAAAAAAAACGTTATCATCCGACCGCTAAAAATATTATACTCGTGTCACGCGGTAAACAAATTAACATTCCATAGCTAGGCAGTCGAATAAACAGGGTGCGAATGAAGAAGAATTGCTTCCAAAAAAGGTTCTACTTTGATTGTGTGGAAATGGTCTGGATTTTCAAAATTCAACGTAGACCAATCTGTCGTAATTTGTAAATTTTTTAAAGATACCATTTGTCCAGCAGGTGGTTATATATTATTATTATTATTTTGCATTTGTTGTGAAATGAGTTCAGAAGTGTATGTTCCATTTGTATGCAAAACTTTTGAAACGTAAAAAAAATTCAAATTTGCTATAATGAGTCAGTTTCTTTTACATGTGCAGTATTTAATGTACCTTAGTGTTATTATTATATTCTGCAAGGAGTGTTTCTCATAAGCACAGAATTTCTGCTTAAGTGGTTAAATGGTAAATAACATTTCTAAACGTATTACAATCTGGCTGATTTGTAAACAAACCGAAAAAATTGTTATCTATATCATGGATCGTAATTCTAAACACAAATATTGTGCTCGTATTTATTATATACATACAGCTCTTGAAAAAAATAAGAGACCACAGCATATTTTTTTGTTTCACTCATTTCTCAATTTATGGGTGTGTGTCTGTGTATAATAGATATTTTTTTGCAAACTGCAGCCTGGCTCTTCTGTGTTTCTCATTAATTAAGGGCTTCTTTCTTGCTTTATGAGACTTCACTATTACCTATTTTTTCAACTCAAGATGTTTAAAAGTGGGTATTTTATTGTATTTTACCATGTCTTCTTACTGCTTATTTTGTGTCCTTATTACCTTTCCTGGCTTTTAATTATTTCTCTTCTTTACTGCTGACTGTGTTTCTATGTACCTCTATTGTCTGTTTGTGTACTAATAGCAAATAAATCTTCTGAATCTTGAATCTCAAGTCCTGCTTCTAGGACCCTGTTATGAACTGTCCTAGCAGTGCACTTCACACCTGCACTTAATGTTTCCCTTTCCTATCGAACGTCACTTGATGTCATCCTCCGATTCACGAGAATCTGTCGGATAAGTTAACAGTCATCTCTGGTATTACAAAGTGGCTTCTGCCCTCTACCTGGCTGGTGTTTGGTTATTGCCAGAGTCTCCTGCTTCACCTTATTCTTGTTTAGTACTTTTTAAGAAATTATGAACCTGGAAGCAACCTGCTGATCAGCGTAGTCTTCTGCCAGCAGAACCAGATTTATACCAGCATTTTAAAATGAAGTTTGTTTTTCAATATAGAGTGCACTCTTCATTTTTTCCAGAGCAAGATAGATAGATAGATAGATAGATAGATGCCATATTGCCCATTCCCAGCCCTAGCCTGTCAGCTTTGGATGTTGAGGGTACAGCGTTAGCATTTTGACGGTGGATACTGACTATATAGCAGTAGTGTCTTCACGTTGGACGCTGAGGATGCAGCATTAGCACTGAATTGCAATGCTTAGCCTAGGATAACCCAATACATGAAAAGGCATCGTGGCACAACACCTACAGCTGTAAAAACTGACCTGAAACACTGAATCTTCCAATTAATGGAACGATACTTCTAGTGCTAGAGAATTTTCCCTGGAAAGACAGGCCTTGGCCCAGAGAAAATGGTCTGGATTTTATCTCGGACATGACAGATGGACGTGTCCCCCATGACCATGCCCTGGGGACAGCACATCCACACCTAGCCCTCCTGCCTGAAAAGGTCAGCTCTCCCTAGGTTGAGCCAAAGGCTTGACGTCGCGTGAATGATGCACCAGACAACTGCAAATATGGGGATGAAAGTAGACAGCCGTGAGACGGAACGGCATCACTTACTTGTCGGCTTGACGTACACTTTCAACTTCAAGCAGGGCTTTCCGGCAAGGTTGGGGTGAGGAGATGCTGGGGGGTGGAGAGAAAGATGAGCAGCCATTAACAGTGATTTCAGTTGGTGGGAACTTTGTTGGTCAATGCCCGTTTCCTCTGGCACTTTCTCATCCCTTTCAGAATAATCTAAGAGTGAACCAGCCAAAACATTCTTGGATGCACATGAAATCAAGGTACAAGAGGTGGACAGGTAGGAGTTCCAAGTCGGCCCTGCTGCTGGACCAATAGATGGTCCTGCAAATATCTAGCTCCTTGTGAATGAGAGCGGCTGGAGATATCGGCCTGAAATCCCCTGGATGCCAGAGTCAGCCACGCGGCGCTGAGGGGACAGCTGCCTGCTCTGGTTCACCGAGCCCCTCCCCCCGTCTGCCGGCTTGGCCTGGTCACCCGTGACGAACCGGCCCGGCTCGGCAGGGCCGCCACGGGAGCTGGAGCACCGGACCTGACCCGTGCGCTCGACGGGAACGTCCGCGCCGCTAATCGCTCATGTGGGCTGGAAAGAAGAGGACCACGGCGTGCTCCGATCCAGGCCGGCAAGCATGTCCGCGCCCCACGAGGAGGCAGGAGAACCCTTCCTCCGGCTGAGCTGACATCAAGCCGACAGCAAGGAAGAGGAGGCAGGCAGAGGGAAGTTTCTCCCAACAGTTAAACCCTTAAACCTAAGAGATCAGGTGGGTTTTCTCTGTAAAACTTCACTACGTTTTTTCAAATGGTAGAACCAGATGCCATTTATAAATTAACTCAACAATTAATTAATAAAAGCAGATTTGTGAAGTTCATTTTTTGACAGCTTCTCTGTTAAAGGCCTTTTATAACAGGCGGGTCAGAGAAGGAGCTGTATGAAACATGGATGTAAGTTTGTACTGTTTAAAAGCATGTTTGAATGCATTTGCTCTGCTGTTCGCTGCAGACGCTCTTCAGGTCTATCCCACCTTCTATCCCTTCCTCTGATCACCCTATCAGCCCCCCCCCCCAAGCCCATGCGGCATGAGGTCACACCCAGCAGCAGGAGTTTAACGGGGAAGCTGTCAGACCGTCATCAATGCCCATCAATGTCATCCTGTAAGAAGCTAGCAGGGTGGGGGGGGGCTGATCTTTTGTCCCCGGGGGACCGAGCTAAGCCCCCTATCCTCCCAGAAATCCATCCTTCCCTGGTACCCACCCCGCCTCCCTTGCACCAACACCCCGGGGGCTGTGACAGCAACAATATTGGCAGTAGCCAAACATTTCTAAAAGGGGGGAAAAGAAAAAAAGGAATGGGGGGGGGGGTTTGAATAGCAGGCCAAAAATGCTTCCCAGCCCTGACCGCTGCTCTGGACAATAGGCTGTTCACTGTGGCGTTTGGCTGAGAGCTCTGGGGCGGAGTGCATTAAAACAGCTCACCACGGGAAAGAATCACAATCCTCAATGCAACCTTTGAACTTCTCCCCCTTTTTATTGCCTTTTCACCATGCCCCCCCCCCCCCCCCCCCCCCGCCTATCCTTCCTGAAGTGACAACAGACAGAATAAGCTCGCCCCCCGCTGGTTAGTAGAACACGGTCGCCTCCCAGCTTTTTTTTTGCAGTTTAAATACGCGGCTGGCTTGACAGGAAAGCACACTGTGCACTGGACATGACTGGCGTGTGCGTGTATCGCAGTGACGGAGCCTCGCACGCCCCGTGGGGGGGTGGGGGGGGGAAGCGATGCACTGCCCACAGGTGCCTCAGTCACGTCTGAAATCCCCGTTTCGCTCTGCGGCCCCTCTGTGTCTCGCCTTTCTCAACCCCCCAAATCCCCAAGATCGTAGAGTGGAAGAGATCCAGAAAATAAAAGACACACAAGTTTCAACGGGACTCCGATAAGACATTAAAAACCAGATGGGCATTTCTGGGTGGGGTCTCGCTGCCATGGGAAGCTCTCAGGCTCCTGCACATCTGCCAGGGACGCTACAGAAGAGCTGCTATAGCAGGGGTCCACTTGGGGTCCGGCTGGCCAACCCCGGAACCGGCCCTTGGAAACGGCGAATGCTCAGCATGGCTAGACACCATTCTGATACACTTCGATTAGAACCTGGGCTCTACCATAAAAGCTGGAACATATTATTTGCTCTGTGACAAATTACTGTATCAATAGACAGCGAGGAGACCCTCAGCCTAAATCCAGAGGATCAGCTTTCGCTCAAAAGATGAACAGCCCATTTTCTTGCAAATCGCATCTTTTAAACTATCTTGTGTCTGTCATTTCTCGCTGGGGATTGAGGGCCCCGTCACACCGTGGGTGTCACTTCTCTTCTTATGCTGTCGATGAACGACGGCCTCCTAGCAACGGAGGGACAGAGAAGGGGATAAAAAAAACAAATTGCACCATTGCGGTTAATGAGCTGTATTAATTTAAGATGAAAAGCCTGATTCATTTTTTGGAACTTTTTTTTTTCCTCTCAATTTCACTAAAGTTAAAAAAAAACAGGAAAAAAGGGAGGGAAAAGAGAAAACAAAAAGAGGTGAAATTGCCTCATTAATGCAAGCGGCACGCTGCCCCGAGCCCCGTCTCTGCCTCAGCCCAGCGGGGGACCTTTTCATCAGGCCAAAGGACACCTTTCACAGGGCCATTAGCAAAACAGGGACAGATGCACCCTGGCAAATTCAGCCTCTCATGCGCACGGAGACACAGGGCTGGCGGGAGGGGTAGCGTTGGGGGGTTGGGGGGGGGGTGGTCCGATCGGGTGTGCCGTACGTGGTGACCTTGAGGCGGTGGGTGTGGAGCACCCGGGACGTAAAGTGCCAGGGCTGTCGGGAGATAAACGCCCAGAACCCTGAACGCTTTGAGGTTAATGGATTTTAGCTGTTAAAATATTGCACACAAAAAAAATGTATATTAATAATGGATACCAAAGCCAGGAGGACAATACCGCCGCCATCAGGGTTTCCTCCGCTAAATATAATTTAGCCAATCAGCGCAAATTGGCGCGTTCCGCATGGCGGCGCCGGTAACTGGGTTTGCGCTGATCTCGCGCTGGGAGGCTAAGTACCCGGTTGGCGACATGCTAGCCATTTGACAAATTGACATTTTCATTCTGGGAAAGAAATGGAGACAAAGGACGAGGGGTCAGTTGTGCCTGCCCACCTGCCCACCCACCCACCTGTATGCAGCCCCCGAAAGACGCAATAGGAGCTGTGAGGCCCTGCTGTCCCTCTCGACTCTCCTTGAGTTGGTCTATTGATTACGTCCCAGTCTGTTATGGCTTCTGCCACACTAATACAGTACATTCTTGTCATTCAGGTATCTGGGCTCTACTTTTTGAGATCATCTGCTACCTTTGTACAAGCGGGTGACAATTAAACCATGGGCGGAGAAGGACTTGCAGGGGATACTTTGGGGTCTCACGGGGTGGCAGACGGTAGACTGACTTCTTAACTTCTTCACAGAAACACCAAGGATGTGTCACACGTGAACCAAGCAAATGCTAGAATAAATAGCTAAAGTCGCCCAGACGTTTCCAGAGTGTGGGTGTCTCATCTCTCCTTTAGCTCAATATTTTCCTCTCGTCTTGAACCCAGTCACACAGGGCCAATTCTTTAAGTAAAGGCATTATGAAATATTGCTTTTTGATTCTGAGACAATGCGTCCAGACTGTTAATCCCCACGCTAACCCAAATGCCAAATAAAACCATGGCAAAGCCTATTAATTAAATCCCAAATGTTACTGTGCTAAGTGCCTCTCACTCCACATAAATATAAATATTCTCAAAAATTCCAACATATATATAGATGTATACTTTTTAGACATAAGTAACACATAGCTTTTAGCTGTACATTGAGGGCTATCTGAAAAACACATATACCCTTTAGCTGTACATTGAGGGCTATCTGAGAAACACATATACCCTTTAGCGATACATGAGGGCTATCTGAGAAACACATATACCCTTTAGCTATACATGAGGGCTATCTGAGAAACACATATACCCTTTAGCTATACATGAGGGCTATCTGAGAAACACATATACCCTTTAGCTATACATGAGGGCTATCTGAGAAACACATATACCCTTTAGCTA